ACATACACACAATGGAGTATTATGCAATGATAAAGAACAGTGATGAATCTGTGAAGCATCTCATAACATGGATGAAACTGGAGAACATTATGCTGAGTGAAGTAAGTCAATCACAAAAGGACAAATATCGTATGAGACCTCTACTGTTAAAAACTCATGTAAAAGTTTACACACAAAAAGAAACAATCTTTGTTGGTTACAAAGGATGGGGGGGGCACTAAATAGACAATAGATGAGTGGTAACTTTGGTGAAGGGTAAGACACTACACAATACTGGGGAAGCCAGCACAACCGGTACAAGGAAAGGTCATGGGAGCTCCATAAACACTTCAAACTCCCTGAGGGACTGAATTGCTGGGCAGAGGGCTGTGGAGACCATGGTCTCAAGGGAACATCTAGCTCAATTGGCATAACAGTTTATAAAGACAATGTTCTACATTCTACCTCGGTGAGTAGCGTCTGGGGTCTTAAAAGCCTGTGAGCAGCCATCTAAGATACTCCACTGGTCTCATCCCTTTGGGAGCAAGGGAGAATAAAGAGAACAGGATACAAGGAAAAGATAAGTCCAAAGGACAAACGGACCACAGCTACCAAGGCCACCACCAGACTGAGTACAGTACAGCTACATGGTACCCGGCTACCACCACTGAATGCTCTGACCAGGATCACAACAGAGGGTTCTGAACAGAGCTGGAGAAGGATGTAGAACAAAATTCTAACTCACAAAAAAAAAAGACCAGACTTACTGGCCTAAAGGAGACTGGAGAAACCCCGAGAGTATGGCCCCTAGACACTCTTTTAGCTCAGTGGTGAAGTCACTCTTGGAGTTCACCATTCAGCTGGGGATTGGACACCCTCATGAAACAAAACGGGACTCATGAGGCACAGCAGTCCAGGGACAAGGACTAAAAGGCAGGAGGGGACAGGAAAGCTGGTGATAGAGAACCCAAGGTTGAGAAGGGACAGTGTTGACATGTTGTGGGGTTGTTAACCACTGTCACAGGGCAATATGTGTACTAACTGTTTAAGGAGAAACTATTTGTTCTGCAAACCTTCATCTAAGGTACAAAAATAAAAGAATTATCTATCTGAGTTCAAACTGACAACAGCAACTCAAAAGGTTTGATGGGAAGCCTAGGGGGCAGTGAGTTGAAGATAATGGTGATGGAATAATTTGGAAAAGGATAGTCAGGATAGCAGCACAACTGGAAGAATGTAATCAATGTCACTGAATTGTACATGTAGAAACTTTTGAAATGGTGTAACTTGGCTAAGTATATTTTCACCAAAAAAAAAAAGGTCCTCCAAGGTCGAGAAAGGAGAGTGTTGACATGTCATGGGGTTGTTAACCAACGTCATAAAACAATATGTGTACCGACTATTTAATGAGAAAACTATTTGTTCTGTAAACCTTCACCTAAAGTACAAGAAAATAAACAATTCACTTGCATTTAGTACATTCACAACATTGTGCAACCTTCACCTTTATCTAGTTCCAACACATTTTCATTACCCCAAAAGGAAACCCTGTACCCATTAAGCATTGATCCCCATTCCCCTTTCCCCCCAGAACAGATCTGCCTATTCTGGATATTTCATATAAATGGAATGATACAAGCAATGTGACCTTTTGTGTTTGACTTCTTTCACTTAGCATAATGTTTTGAGGGCATCAGGATTTTTTAAAATGCTCCCCAAGTGACTCTGATGTGGAATCAATATGGATCATGATCACAAAGTAGGTGTGGGGCAGGGTAGGCAACTGGATTCACTAATTTTAACTAAGCACTTTCGTGTGCAAAGAAATTACAAGTGTTTCATTTAATCCTTACAACAACTTGTGTATGTCATGGGGTAACTGCAGCTCAAGACGTGAAGTCACCTGCTTGACATTACACAGATATTTAAAAGCAGGTTTGTCTAGCTCTCCAGCACCATGTCGGCTCCGTTGCCAAAGCCCATCTCCCAAATGGACACTCAAGAACCATAAGAGAGGGAGAGTGGCTGCAGCTATCAGCTGGCAAGCTAAGATCTACAGACAGAAGTTGATCTAGAACATTAAGGGTCTCTAAGCTCCCTTCCTACTAAAATAAAACTGGGAGACAGTCCAACAGGAATTTAAGAAAAGACCTTACTCCAATTTACAAGAACACTCACTTTAAGATCAAGAAACCAAGGCTCAGAGAAATAAATTGACTTGGTCAAGGTTACACAGCTAATTAGCAAAGCAGGTCAGCTGCCTCATGAATTCCATAGAAGCTATGAACAATTTTTACTTTGCACAGATCCTGAGAGCAGAGTCTTACCCCAATATAAAAACAAACAAAACAACATCAGTTTGTCATCTATAAAGCAGGCTTAACAGTATCCACCTTATAGGATTAGCTCTGAAGATTAAATAAGATGACACAAGTAAGGAACCTAGAACAGTACCTGGCATGTGGCAAGTACTCAAATGTTAGCTGTTTTTATCTTGCTTGCAATACTGTCTCCTTGGAAATTAGTGCTGGCCTCCTGTCAGCTTTCTCTTCAGACAACTTGACCAACTGTTCCATGGCCCACAGAGCATGTGCCTGGCTGCAGTGCTTCCCTCTTGCTGCCCAGACAGGGCTGGACAAGGAGCAGCTTCCTGCCCGGGCTCTGGATCAGAGAGCAGCTTGTTGCCTGAGGTGGACTAGGCTTACCTCCAGGATGACCACTTGTCCTCTCCCCAGGCTGCAGGTGTCCATGAGGAGAAAAACCTGAGACAGCCCTTCTAGCTCCTTCCTTACAGCCTGCTCTCTATTTTTCCATTAGATTATCACCAACTTATAAAAGCAGATGATCAATTATCATCAGACGGTCACTTCCAGGAGGGAAAAGCAAAGAGTTAACATCACTATCTCCTGTGGGAGAACTCTTGTACACCACAGAGCATGGCCATGCGGTTGGAACAAGCAGTGGCCCAGAGCAGGTTCTAACCTGAACAAGGAAACGGCAACATAAGGGCAGAACAGGAGGGGGTATACACTTGGAAGGATTCCCACTACCTATCAGAGTAAGTGGCATTCAGGGCCTACCACCATCATTTCACCATCTCTACCTTCTCAGCCTCATCTTTCATCAGTCCACCACCAGGGACTCCACTCAGATACCAGCCCAAGTGCACTCTCCAATAAACCCCTTTCTCAAGCCCTGCATTTTCTGCCTTAGTTCAGGTAGCAGAGACTGCTATGCATCCCTCAACACCCTGTTCTCTACTTCTTCCACAGGAAAAGACTACATTTTCCAGCTTCCCCTGAGCTAGATGTAGCCATGTATGGATGTTCTGGCCTACAGGATATGAACAGAAGTGATGGGTGGAACTTCTGGGTTGTGCCCTTATAAGAAAAAGGCACACTCTTCCCTTCACAGTGGCTGGAAGATAGGCAAGATGGGAGCTATCTTGGACCAGGAAGAGGAGAGTATCACCTTCTGCCTGGTAGGGCAATGAGGAAAAAGCTGGGCCCCGGAATCTGTACAGAGTCACAGCAGAGACACCATATGTAGTCTGGAGTTTGCCTAAGACAGAAATTAACCTCTGTCTTGTTTAAGCCAGCTATTTTGGTTCTCTCTGTAACAGCATCGTAATCTATATCCTAATTAAGCTCATATCACACTACTCCATTTAAGGGGAGAGAGGACATGTTCCTGTGAGAAGACCCATCTTGTACCACAAGAAAA